TAGTTTACTAATTTTGTTTTGATATGCTCTTAAATTTTTTATATAAATTTGAGAAGAAAAAGAACAAAGTCGTTTATTAATGTAATCGCTGTTTCTTTTTAAGATAAATTATCCGCTAAAACAGTTAGTTCTTCCAATTATTTTCTGCTTTACATTTTCGTTTGTAAACTGAAAGGAATAGGTTAACTGCAGTTTGAAAAATAAATTTTGTCATAAAATTTCTTTTCTTTTGAAAATAATAACTAGAAATAGTTCGAATTTTTTATAGAAAAATAAAGTAAGTTTTGATGAAGTACACTATACATTGTTAAATGACATTATTATAGTGCTTTGTGCTTCAGAATATTATCAGAATTTGTCAGACACTAATATCTTTTCTTAAACTTAAATTAACCTTTTACAAAAAAAGTTTCAGAATTCTTTTTTTTTTTTTTTATCTTAACACTTATTAGATTTATAATGTCTTCTTTATGATCTTCAAGCACTGTTATCAACTGCATTGATCGTTTAAGATGCTGCGCAATTGTGTAACTGAAAATTTTAGAACTTGTCCAATACTTTGATAGCACAAAGAATTTATGATTGATATATACTACAGATGACCATGAATTATTCAAATTTTGTAATAGCATCAAACTAATGACCAGATGGTGATGGGTATTGATATTCCTTCAAATATATAGCTGTTCATTTTCAGGCTGTTACTGCCGACATAGAAGACAATGGCATTGTTGGTGATCCATTTGTTGACTGTGGTGACAGCTACATTGAGGTAAATTTTTAACATTCACTTATGCAATATTTTGTAAATTATTTGTTTATAAAACTTAGACAATTGCCTGTTGTTCAAGTGTTGCAAAACAAAAAAAAAAAAAATAAAAATTAGAAAATTAAAAAATAAACTGGGTGGGTAAACGAGAAAAAAGAAAAGAAGAAGAAAAAGAAAGTAACTAATAATATTTCAACAATTTCCGTGATTTGCTGCTTGTTTTAGGTGCGCTTTGAAACACAGAACACGTTTAAAGGTTTAGTGTTCGTTGAAGATTACCTAACAGATCCAGATTGCCGTTCTCCAGCAGTGGAAAATGTAGATGAAACTGGCCGTAATGCATCGCTAAGACTTGGCTTCAAAGGATGTGGTGTTGAACGACGACGATCGGTAAGCGCACAGTGTTCAGCAATATTATCTGCATTGGCATCTCACTAAACCACCACTAATTTTTAGTTTCCAAATTTGTTTGCTTAAGTTTTATGTCAGATGCCACAACAAGCAAAAAAAACGTTCAATCTTTTTATTATCGCGTACTTTTCCCCATCAAAAAAAAAAAAAAAAAAA